CGCAAATAAGCAAAAGACAAACATATCTTTAGTTAAATAAATATAAATTAAGGTTAAAAACTCGCACCAGACAGACCGAAAAATGACACTGAAGGCAAGGGACGACGGATACTCGTTCCAAAATAAAACATCAAATCATCTCAATAAAATTGTTGAATATAGTTGTTACTATGCAAAAAATAGCAACAAAAAAAACAATCTATCCGACTTCTACTTTAAAGCACCGAAACCTGAGCAGTAGGTGCCTTAAAAACTTGGAGCCCTTGAAGACTTTTGTGATTTAAGTAACAACACTTTATCCACGAAATCAGTCTCACTCTCAAAGCTATTATTTAAATGTACAAAGTAGTTACCAGTGGCAACTCATAGTCATTTAAAAAAAATTTTTTTTTTTCTTAATATATCTTTACTAACAATTTCATGCAAAGGTCCTTGGACTCTAATCACGTATTATGAAGCCACGCACATCAAAGACAGTTTACTTATGTCCCTTTCGCCTCAGCCTGTCCCACACTTTTTTAATAGATAATAATTGCATATTTACACCGGGTAGCTGCTTATGCAACTTTCATATGTGCAAAATATGTATGTATTTATTTCTATAGTGTGAAAACCTAGAAGAGCGTTAAAAAGCACCGACGAACGACTTTGTCGAAGGCAAAAAGCTCATCGACAACATAACCAAGATTTAATAACTAGTATTCGTAGCACAATCGCACAAAGTCGTTACAATTGGCAGAGGAAAGAAAAATGAAGTGACATAAAAACCATAGGAAAAAAGTAAAGAAAAGCAATTGCGTTAATTAACTCAGTAATTAAGAAGTAGAGTAATATAGAGTACATTTACTTGACTGCGGTCTTGTCTGACACAGCCAACAATTGGCATAGAAAAACACACTCATTTACATAAATACATACATATTATGTGAACTACTTGAATTAAAATGCATATATTCTAGTAGCAACTTTTCACTGTGTGTTCTTAGCTTAAGCAATTGCTTATTTTTTTATATGCTCGTTTATGAGTTCAAGTTTGCCACTATTAGCGTTGAGCTTCCGCAACGTTTTTTATTTACATACATATTTGATTGCAAAAATGGTTTCCTAGTAGAATTCCATATGTACATATGTATGTGTGCTTCGTTAGGATGAAGCCACCCCACAAAACCACCGCAGACCGCAGACCTCTGTAACCTAAACTGTAATTTGAAAATAGAGGAGTTGTCAGCTAGCCACCCCCAAACTGATTTGTACTCGTATAAATTGTTTGCAACCCCCCAATGGCACCTGTCACACACGAACATATTGAACTTTGAAGGCTGCAGCTTACGAACGAGCAGAGTGTGGATCCTCAGGGACAAATGATTGCATGAAGTGCAGAGGCAAGCGAAATTTTACTCTAACAAACAAACATACATACATACATACATACATACATACATACATACATTTAGTAATTGACTAGCATCTAAGTAATGGGCGTTGGAGACCGACAGATAGTACCATTTGCAGTTCAAATAAATATACATATTTACATATATGTATGTATACATAACAATTCCATGGCTATGTAACATTTACGAGTATATACGTGGGGTTCATAGCACTCTTTAAATGGCGCAGAGTACAGTGGGTTTAAACACCTCGACGGTTAACACAATGTAGAACAGTCAATCAGCTAACCGTATTAGTCCATTACAGCTATGTTTTGTTTTTTTTTTTTTTTAAATAAGTCATACGTACAAATGGCTTACTCAATTGACAATTTTTTTTATATTTTTTTCACTGATGGCTGCTGGGCGACTACGACATTGATCTGTGTAGTACATGAGTACGCCCTTGATTACTTTGATTATGTGCTCCGCATTTTCAATTGTGTGTAAGTAATTAGTTTTATCGATTTCCTGCCATGCCGAAAAAGAGGAAAAAACTGTAGATATTTTTCTGTAAATGCTGTTTAGTAAACTACACTGGTGTTACATATGGTGCGAGACAGCAGCAGACACCTCCTCAATACCAGCAATCACAAAGCGGTCCCTATTTGGCGATGACTTTGAAATGCTATGTTTTGGATTTTCAAGTTTATTTTGTAAACTCGGCAGCCCTATTCAGGTTGCATAATACGCGTATGGACTTTAGACATGCAGCGTCTTTTTTTATGGATAGATATATATGTTAGTATCAATAACTACATTAGTGTTAGCACAAATGTCAAACATAAATACACATACAAACATATGTACATATTTCATATCTACAGGTGGGGGTCTCAGTATCAGTATCAGCATAACAAAAGTATCATTTGTAATAATTTGTAATTTGTATAGTAAATAAGAGATGGAGTTAACACGATATGACGTTTTTTTTCAGGTAAAAATTAATAAATCGGAAAATGTTGCGACTAGTAAGGAAGAAAACAGCTTTGCGGTTCAAAATGATCAAGTATTTATTGCATTCACTCAATCCATTTAATATAGTAGCCGTGATACTCCGAAAGTGGTACCTCCGAAAGATGGAGGTCGCAAATCGTTGACGACGCAGTTTATTACTTCTTTTTCACGGTGAATTACTTCTTTTTACACGGTTTCTATAGTAAAAAGACGGCCGAATACGGTCAATATTTAAAAACGTTTTTTCAATACAATTTTTAAAAAGAAAAAAGATTCCCACGACAGTCGGTCTGCGTAACCGGAACGACCAAGATTTATATTTGGCCAAGGACTGTCACTCCAGCAACACTCCCAAAAAACTCTTTAGGGAACTTGTATGCTGCTACAACAACAACAATATTTAAAAAATGTTTTTTCAATACCATTTTTAAAAAGAAGAAAAAATTACTTACTGTTACTGTCTGCCGGTTTCACGAAAGCAATTTAAGTGAAAAATTATTTTTTTTCTGTCAGTTTCCATATTAAATTAATATAAAAAAAATCATTTTTCACTTAAATTGCTTCAGTGAAACTGGTATTAGGGGTTATGTCGGCAGTATGTATTTTACAAGCTTTTATTTAATTTGCCCTGTATGTATGTACGTAAGTATGTTTGTTAGGGGCAAATCTTGCAATCAATTTTTGACCAACTTCCCGAGGACCAAGAGTCTTGAAACTTTAATTAATTAATTAATCCGATAGGTGGCGCAGGAGTCGATACATTTGGTTTTGATTTCGTTCATATTTAGAAATATTGCTTTAAAAGTATCTGTTTTTACTATTAACTTATTTCTATTCAAAAATTAAGAGCTTTATTATTCAAATTGTTAATGAATGTTATAAAAAATTTTCAGTAAAAAAGGGCATCAAGCTCAATAAAATTGTTGAATATGATTTGTTATTGGGCAAAAAAAAATATTTAAAAAAACAGTTGAAGATCTTAAAATTACCTACTTCTTTCTTTATTTTTATTAATTTTCTAGAAGAACTATTCGTCGCCTTGAGTAGTTTTTCCTTATTTGGCCCAAGATGCCTGCAAAAAATTGTTGATTTCACACAAAAAAGGCAAAAGCGACCATTTGTTTATTTTGTAAGACCCACACAGTCGACAGCTGTTTAGTTTAGAGATTTTTCATGGTCTTTTACTCAACTCAATCGAATTCCATCTGTATTTTTTGCAACAATTCATGCCATCCTTTTTTACGGCCAAATGTTCAAGCAATATCGAATTGCCTAAGTTCATCGATATGTTACTTGTCGACTTTTTCTGGCACAGCAGCTGACGTACTTTGAACGGCCCTTTCGAGGTTTGTCGGTAAACGCACTACGACCACGATTGAATTCATTAAACCAACGACAAATAATGCCTTTGTGGAGTGCTTTTGTACCAAATCTGTATTAGCCCGTCGAAAACGTTTTGAGTGAAAAAATCTTTTAAACTGTCAAACTTTTTGATGGTGATCTTAGATTTTACCTAGCAACGTCAGTGTTGACAATTCGAAAAATTTACGAAACACCACCCTGGTATAAAAATTTCTATGCATGTATGTATAGATATTAATGTTTACAAGAAAGCGCATTTAGTTAATTTTTTGTACAAACATTTATGGTACAACAATCACAATCGACATGAATCAGCTGTTTTTCGAATTTCAGGAACGAAATATGTTTTTTTGTTTGTCCGTACTACTTTTTGAGAGAAAATGTTTCGCTTACTGTCTAACAGCCGGGCTCAGTCCGGACAACAAGGGAATAAAGCTAATATTATTTATAAAGATATGTAAGATGTTTATATACAATGATAAACTAAAAACCATTTCGTCTGAAAGAAAACGGGAAAAGTGCATAAATACTAATTTATGTAAGTATGTATAAATATAAATTCAATTCAAAAACTTAATAATAGAGTCTGTTATTAGCGATATACATACATACATAAGTATGTAAATATCTATGTAGAAAACGAAGTATGTAATATACTTAGTTTGATTTTAAAAATTTCCTGACTGCAGGATCAATTAAAAATACATGATATCTCGAACATACATACATACATACGAAAAAAATATGTCAAACCTATATATCGTCGTTTAAAGTACAAAACCGCGTATCGTCATTCTGCAATACATAGCTGGTGACAAAGTCATCCATATCGACATACATATGTGCGATGTGTACATGTGGGTGGTCCAAAATTTTTTTCACGGAAAATTTTGCGCGCTTTGAGCGATCTCCAAATATGTTTTGATTTCAAAATAAAAAAATAGAGGTTTATTTTTTCGGTATAGAACAATCCTAGGGGGTGAGAGCATTAAAATTCCGACTTTACTTGTTTTGCGCCACCCTAATGTACATACATACACATGTAACAGTGGCTACGAAAAACGTTAAAGGAAGAAATAAGGAAAGCAGTGGTGAGACTAACCGCGGTAGAAATCGATTTTTCCAAGACAATGTAGGAAGTTGTGGGCCATCGCTACCACGACGAACTTTCGCATGTTTTTGTTGCTTCTACACTAAACATTAAAGTTATACTCGTACTACGTGATATGAAGAAAATATAAAAGTTACCTTTATTTTAGACGATTAGAATGTAGGAAAAGAATTGTTGATTTTTTCCATATTTGCATTCCGCAAACGTTGAAGCAAGTACACTGCAATGCACATTTGTGTATCCGTATTAGCCTTGAATTGAGGCAGTTGCTGTGACTGAGTGTATTTTCGCACTTTCAACTTTTTTCACAAGTAAAAAAATTGTGTGAGATATCAATTTCATTTGCACAGGTAAAATTACAACTTTTAATCACTTTTATGATAGCTTATACTCGCTGCGAGTAGTTAAAAATGAAAAAGCACATTTTTATTTTCATTTTAATAATAAATTTTACAACTAACTTAGCCGCAGTGTTGCTGCAACTGTTTTCATCTAACAGATGCAGAAAATATTGCTGAAAATCTTACAACCGAACTTGACACGAAAAGGTCTCAGCACGAAAAGGGTGTTCGCCTATACTAGCAACAAAGTCAAGCGTAGTATTTTTTCCAGTATATGGCGTTGGTACTATTTTTACTTGCAGTGATACACCGACCGATTTGCACAAAAATAAAATGGAATGCTGGAGAAAATCGCATAAAATTGCAGTTACACGCAAGAATTCGTGCGTATGTATGTATGTACTTATATGTGTATAAATTAAGCCCACAAGACGACACTTTGCTATGCTTTGTACTATGGTGAATTTCTTACAAACAAAGGGCACACACACACCCTCACACAATATGGATGAGGAGGGCGTAGCAGTGTGGCGCTACATGAAAAAAGCACGGAAATATTGGAAAAACTATTGCACAAACACAATTTTTTTTTTAACTTTTATCTTTCTTTAGATAATTACATTTTCCGAAACACATTCACAAATCGCGTAGCTGCACTAAATTGTTGTCGCCAACCGTTTCATTGAGAAATCGAAAATGTGCTACCGCGTAGATACAGAAATGGAACGCGATTAAGAGCAAAGTTGCTGGCCACCACCACCGATACCCAACCAAGTGAGCGCGGCCGTATCGTGCTACTGATATGACTCGTGACGAAATCTATGCTCAGCTCACATGACACACAAACTCCGCGCCAGCCACAGTGCGAGTGAACTCGTATCGCCGCCGCCTAGTGCCCATGTTTCAACACCATTCTTACATTTTTGTTTTATTTTTTCTATTTATTGTAGATATTGTTGGCTCTTTACCTCTAACAAGGCAATACTATTTTGCTATATCACCTCAGAGTACTCGTATAGAAATACATACATATGTTGTTGGCCCACTGGAGCTGACCAACATAATTATGTATGTATGTACATATGTGGAGCCATAGAAGCAGCAACAAGAAAAATCTCTCACTCTCTGTTGGGAATGTGCTTATGCTCAGTGCCTGTAACTGGAGCAGGGAGGTTTTTTGTGGCTATGGTGAAGTTGGGCCATTTACCTACAGACTACCATATGTATGTATGAATTTATACTGGTAGTACTTAGCCAATAGTATGCACGGGAGACACAAAGCCAATGCGAACTAGTCTGTTAACACAAATCGGAGGTAGAAGCTCCGGTTAAACACAACGACTGCTTTATCGATCACATGTATATATGCATGATATCAAAATCATCGATAATGATTTTCAACCGGCAAATAGTGATAACCAGACATTGAACAGCCGGCCCTTAGATTTGTTTCTCCGTTTTTTTCGATATTCTGCGTTCAAAGTTTAGGATTAAAATCAAATTTTTCTTTCACTTTTATAGTTCATTTCCACCAAACCTTAACTGCAGTTTATGCCTATTGGAAAAAGGAGATTACAACTCGAGGTGCGTAATTGCTCATTACAACTATAAGCAAATAAAAGTAAAAAAGTAAAGTAAATAAAATTAAAGTAATCAGACGTAATGTGCATGAGGTACACAATCTTTGACGCTCTTCTCTCTCTTTCTGGAAGTAAAAACATTAAGCTGGGCTGCTTTACGCCCAACTTCAGAAGAAAAGCTAAACTTTAAACTTTATTTTCCTTTGTTTTACTTATTATGGAGTGCTCTGCTGAAAGAGAACATGATTGTGGTGAATTTCATTCGTTTGGAAGAATTAAAAAAAAAAAAACTTATCGAAATTTGATAGTTTGCAAACAACCCGAAATTCAAGACATTAAACAGACTTCGAGTCTTATGAAAAAAGTGTCTATAAACCAAATTTTACAAGGGATGACGGAAAATCGTTCCAAAATACAACATATTCCTACCCTGTCGGAAACACAAACAACTGATATGAAAACAGTGTAACTTTAATTCTAGATCTTTTATGGCGGCACGATAAGCTAAATGTAGCAGCGGCGACTTCATCCACCCGCTGAGCTGGAATTGTCTGCTGCAGTAGTGTGAACAAAGCCAGTTAAGCAACGATCAAAAACTCGACATGTTCTCTCACTTTGGATGCAATTGATCTCCCGCACACAAAATGCATTCTCTCATTCTCCTTCTCTTTTTCATGGAAGCCTCAAAAGGTAAAGTAAACAAATAGAGATTGACTTTTTTCCCTCACTTGCCTTCCATACTTGTTTAGCGTGAAGAAAGTTGTATCTCCTACCTTTAATTAAGTAATTTTATGGTTTGCTGATATATTCAAACATTCGCGTGATAATACTACCACCGTGATTCATAACACAATTAGATTACGACAACATTGCCGTAAACATTACTACAAAACTACCATAAAGTGGTCATTAGCTATTGTTCATTTTAGTGGAAGTCAGTTATGATCCTGCAGCCTATCACACAAAGGCAGTAAAATATAATGGCAACTAGTACCTGCTCCTTCACGTTCCTTATTTTATTCATGAAAAGATAAACAGGTAGCAGCTTAGCAGTAAACCGATAATATACATACTTATCTAATGATTCACAACGCGTCTGGCAACAAAGGCGCAGAAAGGTTTTTGGTGAATCTGACAATGAATCAGCAAAAATTGTTACGCGTCTTATAGGGCATTAGCACGAGGCGATTTTACAGGCAACAAAAGTTGAATGAGAAGTTGAAAGTGAAAAAGTTGCCATCCCTATTCAGACGAGGCGATTTTCGATTATTATTGAAAATAAATTTAAATCTCAAAATTTTATCAATTGGCGTAAACTTGGTAAGCCAAGCGTTAGTAGCAGTGCTTTTAGCGAAACTTAAAGATAAAATAAAAGTAAAAAAAAAAAGTATGTATACAGAATGTAAACAAACACAGGGTTGCAAGGAAAAAAAAGTTGAACGAGCTCAAAGTTGGCTGGCGACCAACTTTGTTGAAAGGCCGTTCGGACGAGGCGATTTTTGCTTTCAACTAAAAGTTGCCTGAAAAATCGCATCGTGCGAAAGCCCTATTAGGAAGTAACCCGTTTGCTTTTAATTTAACGAATGTTCCAATATGGACAATATACATTCTTACTCAGCTTTTATCTCAAGCAAGCGAGATTAGTTCTGCGGATACGATGCATTTAGAGATTGAAACAAAATAAGTATGTATGTACTTTATGTATTGGTCAAAGCAATATCGCAAAAAAATGTAGAAAAATGGTTTTTTCTTAACAAGCCTCCGAGCGTATTTCTGCCATAAAAAATAGCTTTTCATAAAAATACAATCGCCGTTCGGAATAGGTCCCTCCCCTCTGTGTGACAACATCAAGGTGCCCTCCACAAATCGGAGGAGAAGTTCCGGCAAACACTAACATATTCACCCTCATTGCGAGAGTCGTGTCGAATGCCAGTCGTTTTTCGAGAGCCGAATCGTATCGAAAATTGCACGTCATTGCCTAAAATTTCCACTCGACTAGTGTATTAAAACGGAAAAACTTGGCAGCACTGTATAGTTTTCGACGATTTTGGTCGTTTACTTATTTCATTACGACAATAGACAATGCTACTGTTGTCGAGTCGTACAATTTAGCCTAATTTACGACCTACGCAATGAGGCTGATTATTATTATTATTATTATACCTAGGGCTGACACTATACGTACATGTATATCCAGATATCCGCTCGAATATTAATGTGAAGGGACAAAACCCGGATATCCGCATATTCTAAACAGTATTTGTTGGTACTATCTGTGTAATCGGATATCCGTTCGGATATTCGTGTATGCGTATAAAATCAGGATATCGATTAATATACATACAGTGACTAAAACAAATGGCCACGTGTTAATTTTTTTTTTAATATGTGTAATGTTTTTCGAGCTAAATTTTTTTGTTATTTTTCTATAAAAATACCAGTCCAAGCTTTAACCAAAACCATATAAATCACAGTTTAAAACTTAATATAAAATTATGGAAAATTCAACGAATTTTCATCAAAATTTCAACTTTCTAATCTGAATCTCTTAGACCATTTTTGGGTATGCAGTGTTATAGCCCATAGAATTCAACTCTAATGAAGTGCAAGTTTTTTTGGAGACTACTTTCCCGTTTTTTTAACAAGTTAATTTTGTAATCCGGATATGCGATTAATATGTGTAATTTGTCTATCCGGATATCCGGTTAATATCCGTTAATCTTGTTGTCCGGATATTAATCGGATATTGCAATTTTTTTATCAGATATTCTAACATTCGAATATCCGTATCACACGGCTATTAAAAAAAAATTATAAAGTCGTAGTTGCTAAGTAAATATGTAATAGAAACTTCGTTAATACATAAATAATTGTTGTTTTATTACTAATTTTTAGATTCCAATATCCGTATATTCGGATTTTTTATTCAGATATTCGAATGTCCGGGTTATCCGATAGTCAAAAAATCGGAAAGTCGCAGTGCTACATGACATATTATTATCCAGAAGTTGTTGCAACTGAGACTAATGGCCTTAGTCATAAAAAATAAAATATATTTGAAGAACTTTATTAAGTGACTTTCATAAAAATTTACGATTTCTAAAGCAGTTAAAGACTTCTTTAATTTTTATGAATTTGAGTGTAAATTGGCAACTGTTTGTTAACTCTAATAACTCTTCAAATCATTTTTCCAAAATCGACTTCCGCCTTACCCTCTTACTTTTCTTTCTCACTAAATCGCTTCCAAGAAAAAGATTTAATTTAATTTCGATATCGTCATTCTAGTATCTAAAAAGTACGAGGCATTTACAAGACGAAGAGTATCGAACGTGAAACTAGTAACATTTACAACCAAGTCACGCACTGCCTATAGTCGCTTTAATCAAGAAAAACATATAAAAGGAAACTAGCTAAGAGATACGAAAATGTAGTTTTCTTGCAACTGAAGTGTAGGTTTGGTGCTGCATATTTAATAGAACACATAAGTAAATAGAAATTACGCCTTTGAAGTGAGTGCAAACCTGAAAACCTGCTTAGAAACTTTTGGATAAAAAAGATGCGTAACATGCCATCGATGCACTTCTTTTCATTTTGATTTATATACAACATGTAGTATTCACATATGTACATATACATATAATTCTGGGTGTAAGCGAATCCCATCAACCCTTACAAAAATTCACCATAGCCTTATAGACCAGGAACTCTCACTATTTCGGCATAAGCAAGGTGGAGCATGCGCACTACCGAATTAAAATCCATAAAAGATATGAGTCGGAATGAATATGTAAAGCCTTGTACATGCATACATGCATATGAAAAAATTAAATATGTAAGTATGTAAATATATTAAAAAGAAGGTAAATATAGGGTGATTTTTTTTTTACCTCAAATACAAAAACTTCCAAATATGCGGTGTAGATGAAACATGCGCGTGTCTGAATGAGTACTTTAACGTTGATCATAACCGCGGCGGAAGGAAAATAGGCGGAATGCATTAACAGCCACATGAGCGATACATATGTATAGTAAGGAGAGTAATTAGGGTAGCAAAGTTTATTGAATTTCATGTTGAGTCATAAAATATTAGGTACGAGTAGTATACAAAAAATACGCACACTTGTAATTTGCAATGATAAATCCTTACCGAGTAGTTTTGCATACGAAATAGGTTGGTTGTTGTTGTGTTTGTATCGGGTACTCAACAAAAAAAAACAAAAAAAACAACATGTGTAATAGAAACAGACAGCTTGGTTATAACAACATTGTAGTAAACATTGCCACCTCTAGCAGTTATAGCGATTAAAATTTGTTGCATGTTTGCATACATACATACATACATACATTTCTACATATTTCATTTCATGTTTTATTTAGCATCAATGTTTTGTTTTATTTATAGTCTCAAATATTTTCAATACAAAGCATCAAAACAAATGAGTAAATGTCGCTGAACTTATTAAAAGGGAGAAGTTACACACACCCGCGCCATGTAATCTGGCTTTACTCATTTGGGGCAACTTGTGAAATCAGCACAAATTTAATGCTTGTTTATTTGTGGCTGCTAGCAACAAATCACGATGTAAGCTGAAAGAATTTTTTATTTTACAGTCTCAAAGTTTATGCTAGCTGTAATTAATTTATAGGGCAGCAGAATTTGTGTATTCGTGTAGCTAAAGAATATGTTTGGAAAAGCTTAAATTTTTAAGGGATATAAACTTAAATAAATATTTAGTGGGGGTATGTACTTTTTTAAAGACGGCTGCGTTTTAAGAGAAAATATTTTCTTAATAAATAGCTTGTCATCATCAATGCAAACGGCTTTATTGGTTTAAATATAAACTTATGCTTCTGTAAGTTTTTCAATTGGTCAAATGAGGGCTTTTTGCATTGATGGTGGGGACATAAAGGAATGCATTTAGTCTTGTTTTTGTTAGTGTAGCAGCAGTGCTCAACCCCCCGGGTTTCGTCATGAGTCATCATCACAACCATTTTTGGTTGAGGCCACGATTTATGCTACTAAGCTTTTACGGAAGGAAGACATACTCACAAGATTTATTATCTAAATCAGTGGTGTCCAACAGAACTTGGACAAAGGGCTACTTTGAAACTATCGCTATGATATGCGGGCACCCCTAGCTTAACTTCAATCTTAACTGCGTTAACTCGTTTCACTCTTCTTATATTCAATGTATATATTCTACTAACAGATCCGTTTGAAATATTTTTTTATTATTAAAGTTTATACAGTTAAGTTAAATTAATAACAGTGTATAATATTTTAATGAAGAACATTCATTTTATTGTAAACATATGGGAATGTGCTGCAATTCGTACGATTTGAGATCCATGCGATCTGCAAAACCTTGCTCTACGTTATACATATATTTATATATTGCCCACGAGTACGAGTTTCCAAAGTCAGATTGACTAACAGTGCCTCCCTAGCAGAAAAATCAGAAAATACCACTCTGGTGAACACTAATAGTGCGGTGAGTCTGAAACATCGGTCGACTCATCCATTTTTGAGGAAACCTAGTCACATTTCTTGAAATCGCTTTTTATTTGGCCATGAATATCGTTTGGTCGGTCATCAGATAACGACACTTTTTTATACCCGAGCGCACTTGTGCACAAAGGTATATTAACTTTGTTCACATAACGGTTGTTTGTAACAGCCAAAACGAATCGAGATAGATATAGACAAATGTATACATAAATGATCAGGATGAAAAAAGAAATCGATTAAGCCATGTCTGTCTGTCCGTCCGTCTGTCCGTCTGTCCGTCCGTCCGTGTACACGATAACTCGAGCAAAAATTGAGATATCTCAACGAAATTTGGTATGTAGGTTTCCCTTAATCCAAGGTAGGTTGGTATTGAAAATGGGCGAAATCGGACTTTAACCACGCCCACTTCCCATATAACGGTAATTTCCAGAAATACGAAAACTGCGATATTTTAGTAACTACTGAAGATAATTCACTCAAAATTGATACTTAAAATAATTTTTAGGCGAAAAAAAGAATATTATAATTTTTTGGAAAATGGGCGTAGCCACGCCCACTTATGGTTACATGTGTATAACTTGGTAACCGCTGCATCAATTTCTTCCAAACTTGGCACAGTGGTTGACCTTAGCACAACATACCAAATGGCCGAAAATTTTTAAAATCGCTCAATAACCACGCCTACTTCCCATATAACGGTAATTTTCAGATATACGAAAACTGCGATATTTTAGTAACTACTGGAGATTATTCACTCAAAATTGATATTTATAATAAGTTTTAGACGAAAAATAAGAATATTATAAATTTTTGGAAAATGGGCGTAGCCACGCCCACTTATGGTTACATGTGTATATCTTGGTAACCGCTGCACCAATTTCTTCCAAACTTGGCACAGTTGTTGGCCTTGGTACAGCATAAAAAATCGCCGAAACTTTTTAAAATCGGACAATAACCGCGCCCACATCCCATATAACGGTAATTTAGAGAAATACAAAATCTTCGATAAATCAGTAAATATTGAAGCTAATTTATTCAAAATTGATGCTTGCAACAATTCTTTACCAAGAAATACGTTTATGGTAAAATTTTGGAAAATGGGCGTGGCACCGCCCACTTATCATCACATATATGTATCTCGGTAACCGTTCGACCAATATATACCAAATTCGGTATGGTTATTGTGCTTGCCACATAAAATCAAAACGTTGAAAATTATTGAAATCGGACTAAAATTACGGCCGCTTTTCATATAACGGTAAATTTCAGAAATGCTTGAAACTGCAATGTTTCGAAATTTAAGGACGCTAATTTACTCAAAATTGATACACCCCGGCTTACCATCTAGCGGTAGCTTTCACAAAGGTGAAAAAACATATATTTAATACTTGCGCCGGGTATTTAATGTTCGGCTCCACCCGAACTTAGACTTTCTTACTTGTTATTGCTGAGATTACGCTGTTTTTATTTTGAAAATCCTGAAACACAGATTCTGTCATGTCTAGCATAGAAAGATAAAAAGTAAATGAGTTCGTGAAAATTCAAAAATAAAAGCTTACTTATGTACCAAAAAAACTTCCATTGTTAAGCTTTTCAATTCAATATTCTGTTCATCTTCTTGTTTGCGGGCGCCTTAAATTTAGGTCGCGGGTTCAAGATAGGACTTACACAAAGTTAAGTATGTATGGCGGATTTCGAAAGACCAGGACTGAGCTACTAGTCTATTCTTACTTTTAATTCCATTGGTAACAACTAATTGTCTATGTAGATCGTACATAACAGCCAAGCTAATCTAACCTGTATATCTCAACCAAAAATTAACGTTAAGGCAGCCTAATTAGAATTACATATATTTATGCATTAAAATAATTGAAACCAATTCCATTATTACTCAAGATGTCTATATTTTTAATATGTTTATTACAAGTAACAAAAATATATGTATGTAGGTATGTATGTATGTGGGAAGCTCAAAACATCCCTGTGGGAAAATGTAATCTATAGTAAGTAATTAGTAGTCAGTCAGTAGATAAATAATTAATAGAGGTATGCACTGCGACCAAAAGGTCTATTGTGCCCTCAACCAATTACAGTACCTCATCTAATCCTAGAGAGCCCAAAAATTAGAGGAGATCCCCAGGGATTAGCGATTGTATTGCTTCGTCACTTGGCCAGTAATGGCCCAGGTACCTCTCCCGTCATCTCGCGACCGCCTCGCATTCGCTAAGCAGGTGGACGGGAGTCTCCTCAGTCACGTCGCTGAAACGATATAGGTCGGCTAGGAAGGGCTCAGGCCCTATATGCGACAAGGCGGCCGCCATTCTAGCTAGTCGGTCCCCTTCCTTGTTGCCCGCAACTCCTATGTGACCTTGTACCCAAGTTAATTGGATTTCGTTGTACTCCGCCAGGCTGTTGAGCCTATCGATGCACTCAAGAACCAAGGACGCTCAATATTAAAATTCTCTCGTTACGGTAATTCCTACGTAGGATAATCTCTGCACACAGACTGATGGCATAGACCTCCGCCTGGAAGATACTCGGATATGCCCCCATGGGTACCGAGAGCTGTAGCCTCGGGCCGTAGACGCCAGCCCCAAAGAATTCCGGAGTCTTCGAGCCGTCTGTGTACCATTGCAACGAGCTCGATAGGCTTATCCAATTCCTGGCAAAGTTAACTACCTTAGGCCTGTCGTCTCTGGGGAGTAAAGCTAACGGAACTTGGGAGTCTAGCTTGTCTCTGTTCCTTAATGATAGGGTTTTGCCACTGCCAAAGCCTTCTCCCGCGAAATTTAGTAGAGTTCGCTTTGCAGCCTGTTCTATGGTAAGGTACAGCGGCTCGAGCTCGAGAATCACCTCCAGCGCTGCCGTCGGACATGTGCGCATTGCCCCCGTAATGCATACACATGCCAGACGTTGAAGCTTGGTGAGGGATTGGCTCACCGTAGTGAGAGTGGTTCTCGAGACCCAAGCCACTGCTCCATAGGTGACTATTGGTTTAACTATCATGGTATACATCCATCTCAGGATCTTGGGACTAAAGCCCCAGGTCTTCCCTGCCAGGCGTTTGCATACCAATAGTGCCCTCGTAGCTTTGGAAGTGACCGCGTCAACATCTGCCTTCCACAGAAGTTTAGAATCCAGTGTTAGTCCCAGGTATTTAACTTCGGTGGCGACGTCAGTCAGTTAGTGAAACATCCCTTTTCACATTCGAAAATGCATTTTTTCCAGGGCGATGTCCTAATAAAAGTGGGGCAATCAATTTTGTATTACCTAGTATCGAGAAATGAATGTGTTTTAATATGAAATTTTTGGAACTTTTTGAATACATTAGAATGCTTATTACATCGTTAGCAGTAATATAATCGAGAATTCATAAGAAATACATTATATTATTTATCACGCATGTAATGCACTACTACTTTTCCGACTGGGATAGTCATATTCATAGAAAAAGATTCCCATTCAATAGGCACCCCGTGCTCGCTTTTTGTGTGTTCTTTAATTTCCGTTAATTTAAATTCAGTTGAGTTTGACACTTTTCAAGATTTTGTCAGCAAAAATTCTTCTAACTACCGAAAAAATTCTTCTGGCCGATCCGACATCATGCATGTAACATGTGATCGATAAAGCAGACGTTGTACTTAACCGGAGCCTCTACCTACGATTTGTGTTAATCAGACATTGAACAACCGGCCCTAAATCTGCCTACTTCGCACTAAAAAGAGTCACTCTCACTGAGTGTTGCTCTCTCATTTTTGCTGTCATTTCCGAGTTAAAGAACGCTTTTTGGACTAAATCTGACTACTTCGGACTTTTTCTGACTATTTCTGGGAGAGAAGGAACGCAACTAATAAAAGGTTTGCTCAGAAAACAGTCTTGTCGATCCTTCTTGACAAAATCGGTTCCTTAGCAAGGCACTGTGTGTGGGTTCGTGTGTGTGTGCAAAGCTTTTCTTCTTCTTCTGCGTATCCAATGCCGGATGTTCGCGATTATATACAAAGCTTTTGCGAGGGAGTTAAGCGAGTGTCAAAACTCTAATGTCACTGGTGAGCAAATCTCTAATTTTTGAATCGTGGGTACTAAGTATGTACAATATCAAGAAAAATCAACGATCTGTAACGGTGAAATAGTGTTTACTTTTACACCAGCAACGAAAATATCAATCGATTGTGCTTTTGCAAACTGGTTTTTTGACTCATTCACGAGACAGTGGTTAGAGAAACAAAAAATTTAAACGACCAAGCATTCAAAAGCTCGTAGGTAGGTATACCTACCAAGCGAAAATGCAAAAATGTTAATACATTTTTTTTTTTTAATGTGGATATGTATGTACATTGTTGTATATTTATATGTACATATGTATTGTATATATATACATATATATGTATGTACATATGTATCGTCGTTTAAAATGCAAAACCGCGCATCGGCAAAATGCAAAACCGCGTATGTGAAGTTTTAGAAATTATTTTCTAGAGTGTAAAAACACTCATTTCAAAATGGTTCTCTTTTTTATAAAGCAATCGCATTTCTGGCTAGTATATTTCAGGACGAATGGATAAGGATTGAGCCAAGAGCATGTGTGAGCAAATCCAATTTTTGGCAGCCAATGTCAGTTATGCGGTTTAGCAGAATGACGATACGCGGTTTTGTACTTTAAACGACGGTATGTATGTACATACATCCTAACTAAATGTTAGTGTGCGGCATAGTGGTATGTTTGCAAACACAAACGCTAAGCCCCTCGACAATTGGAAATTCAGTGTGCTTAGTCATTTTTTTAAATAAATTTTGTTTAAAACTTTATGCAAATTTTCAAAGCTAACGGGGTTTAGCATAACTGATATATTTAACGCACAATTAACGCTACAGGAAACCGTTTGACCAGCAATATATGGACGATTACAAAACAAAAACCGTTATTTCATTATCGCATAAAGCGAATAGCAAAGGTTTTTAGCCAGCTTTCATTGTCTGAGTGATGGTTACTCAATCCTACAGTGACAAGAGTCGCAAATACAATAATGCATAATAAAATGGGAGAAATTGTGATTCAGATTAGCGAGGCAAAGTGAATATTCTTTTCGAGCACTCTATACAAACATTTCTGCAAACCTATGTTTATCAGCGTGGATAAGATAAGATTAAAACAATGGGAAATATTTAGCACTGGAATTCAGAATAGTATCATCAAACTATTGTGTTTTATATTCCAGCGACTTAAGTTTGTTTTAAAAAGAGTGCCAATGAGACAGCGTACGTTCGCAGCTGGCAACTCCACCGACAATTGTTAAAAATCAATTGTTGCTCGTCATAACTGTTCCAATTTCCCCCAAGTTACGTGGCTGCCATTTGCAGAGCTAGGAGAATGAATTCACTAAAACTATGTATGTCCAATTATTTTGTTGGTAAAAGGATAATATGTAAATCGCACGTATATCTATTTAGGAATTTGCTTCACATGACATACATACCTTATTCAGCTTCGAATTTGAAACGATTTCTCAACAAACATAAATTGGCCGTCGTCGACTCAGAGAAGGTCGGTCAGTTTGTTCGCCCTTGGAAGGGTAGTGGCAGGTTCAGCTTAGGTACAAAAATCAGTCCCAGCTTTAGATTTTAGAGATGGACGTCGCTAGTGGGGCGTCCACCTGCCTGACGAGGTCTTTTGTATGGCTGTACTTTACTTTTGCTCCTTGCTCACTGTTGAATAATTTACTATTTAATTAGCAGTTATATACTTTTTCATTCGTTTCACTTTTCGTCTATCTTTCACTGCTTTTTATCTCGTTTTTGCCACTGCTTTCACGTAAATTATACACAATGGCCCACTTTACTCCTTTTCTATTGATTTCGAGCAATTTAACAATTTTAATTTCATAACTTTCTTCAAGTGAAACAACTATTTTTAATTATCGTTAAATATTTCCTAAATTTCGATTTTATCTTGAACACGGACTTGTTTTGACGGCATCGTCAATTTTTTCGTTTATGATGGTTCGATTTTCGTTTCGGAAGTAGCGCAAAACAAAATTGCTGACGACATTCAGCAGGGTTGCATTGAAAATCATTAGGCTTGTAGACCGCGTTTATTTTATTTTGCTATATAAAAAATTGGGAATTATTGTTGGGTAGTTGCAAAGAACGTAAATCTATACCTAAATCTATAGATTTACGTTCTTTGGTAACACCACCTTGTATAAATTCGCTTTGGTCAAAATGATGTTTGTTGTAAACAAAGCGAACAAAAACGCCCATTCTCAGTTCCAAATGTATTGAAAATATGATGAGATAGTGCGTTTTTGAATCGGCAGCTGAGATAAATAGGGCGTTCTTCGACCAAATTCTGAAATAGGGAGTTCTTGAAAAGGTTTTTGAGATAGGGCGTTTTCGAACCGGCTGCCGAGATAGGTCGATCTCCCACTCAGCAGTCGATATAATAATTTAGCCTCATTTATCAAAAATTCAATAACGTTCATGGCTTGGCTGCACTTATCCGCCGATGTACACACTGCAAGCGCGCTACAAATGACGAGCATGCTCGCGCACATGGTTGGCGTGTGTAGCCACTGTTATGTCAAATCTCAATTCGCCTAAAAGTTTACTTTTATTTTGTTTTTCCTTCTGACGGGCAAGGCGAATTTATACAAGGTGTTGTCAAGGTGTATTAAACAAGGTGGTGTTGGGGCGACAGCTGAGTTTTTCGCCATGGAGACCATTACGTCAAAATGATGTGTTTGTTGTAACTCATACCAATAACAGTATGGACATCAGCGTTAATTTGTTAGTGGAATTTTTTACTTGTATACGGCCACACCACCTTGTTAAATACGCCTTGGGTGGTGTCAAGAATGATGTTCGCTGCCGTACTTATTAATGTCAAAATGATGTGTTTGTTGTAATATGAATGCGCCTGGTTTACAACAAACACATCATTTTGACATTAATAAGTACCGAAGCGAAAATCTACATTTGCCATCAAGACCACATCGTATAAATTCGCCTTGGCAAAAACAAAACACATGTAAGGCGAAGAAATCAGCTGATTTTACAACACCACCTTCAAGGCGAATTTATACAGGTATTTTGTTTTTGCTTCTACCCGATTTGACGTTGTTGTAATCTAAATTCGCCAGTAACACCACCTTGTATAAATTCGCCTTGTTAGCTCTGATCCAATACTTTTCGTGTAAAATCCTGGAAAAATGTCAAACAGCAAAATTTCTCACTGAAGTGAGAGTACAAAGTGAGTAACAACCAAAAAGTACGGGAACAAAAAAGAATTTTTCCTTTATAAACGCTAAACAGCCGATTGCTTGACACTTTTCCTGATTTTACCAGAAGAAAAAGTTCGGCTAAAATCCTGCAACTTCATTCTCTACGCAACTCTCCAAAAATCGCTTTCATTTACAGGATTGTGGAGTACGGAACATTTTTCCTGTAACTTCCTGCAAGTTCGTGTAAAACCTGTAATTTCTTGGAGTACTGGATCAGTCCTATTATAAAACTCTGAACACACCCAAATAGCGATGTGTTGACATGAACCAAAAATACAAGATCACGTAAGAACGCGACGTTGTATTTGTAACTGGTTTTGAGAAAAAAGTTTGCGAAAGCGAGTTCGTCAGCTGAGCGTTTGTTTACATCACAAGCACCACTATTTTACACTTTTATTCAAGTAAAGAAGAGTTAATTCAACATGACAACACATTTTAAAGCATTTTGTTGCATCATTTTACCTAAATTGTGCGTTTAAAGTGGCTGACAATAATTTTGGCTAATTTTGGTTCTCGTTGTTTTCTTTGCTTTGTTTACTTTTCGCTCGTTTTCCAGTGAAAAAAGATGGTGTAGAACCCGCTAAAAAATCGACTTTTTTCACTCTCTTGTTCTTACGTGATCTTGTGTCTTTCGTTCATGATGTGCTGAGTCAATACTTTTAAGTATTGATCGACATTCGGTACCGATTTAGCTTTCGAATAGAAGCGCATATGAGCCAAAAATATGGAAAAAACGATTCAGGAGAGACTCGCCTATCAAAATCCGAATGTAGGAGCCAATAGAGCTTTTAATCATGATCCAACTACACAAGATCTGACAAGATGAAGCAAAAGAAAAAAGTAATTTTCTGGCTGACGTTTGTAATTTCGGCGCCATGTTATTTTCTGTGAAAAGTAAACAAAGAATATGAAGACGAAGCATAAAGAAAAAATGCAGACAATGTTGTGCACATGTTTGTGCTAACTAATTAGTTATTTTTGTACGTGTTTTTGCATTCAATTACCGCGCACTTCATTTTAATTACATTTGCACAAAAAATCACTTAAAAATCACTGAAATAAACCTTGTCGGTGATACATATAAAAAAGAAGCATAACAGAAATAGCAAACTTCAGAATTACGAACGTCACACACTTTTTTCTCAATTGCTATTACAAATGGCTGCTTCTCAACCGGTCTGATCTGTTCTAATTGGTTCATGGCTTTTAATACTGATTTAAATTAAAGATGTATATACAGGATCTCCCCCCTGAAAGGCTTCTTCATCCGTCAAAGCATTTTTCTTGAACCTTGGATCAACTAAGGTAAATACTGATAAAATAATATGTTGCGATAAGTGTTTTAGCCGTTATCATATAAATTATTAATGGAAGTTCTTTCTAAACTTGAAATGCATGTAATGGCTAAGGTTACTGAAAAGAAATACTATTGGGTACCGAAATCTTTTTTGAGTATTGGTACCGAGTATTGGGTACGACAATTCAGTACATCACAACACCCAAAGCCGGGTGATTCGCCTTGGCCGGGTGCAAGGCGAATTCGCCTTGGACAGGTGGTTGTCAAAGCGCACATTTGCCGGCAAATAAATTTGCAAATATAAACAAAGAGGCAATTGTATTAATAAATAAAATGAAATTTTGTGTTTTCCTCTTGACTTTAATAGCCCGACATCAGTATACCATTTCGCAAAGTGAGAACGCTTACTCTACTAATATCTGCACAAAGGATAGCAACGAAAATTGCTCTTCCATTGAGATTGATGGTGTCGAAAATGGTAAACAATTGTTTAGTTTATAACCCCTTTTTTAAAATTCCATATCTATTAGACAACCATATAACTGAGGAAGTAAGAAAATCATTAGAGTCCTTTGTACTCTGTGCGGATGAAAATGATGTTGATTGTAGATGCCATAGCGATGTCTTAGTAAATGACCTCAAACCGTTTCGAGAAAAGGGGATCACTCAGAGTATGGTAAAGACTTCCGCCAAATATGGAACACGATACAAGATATTAAAACATCGTCTTTATCGCGACAAAGAGTGTATGTTTCCGGCGCGATGTAGTGGAATCGAACATTTCCTAATAAAACTTCTGCCCGAATTGCCTGATATGGATATGGTCATAAACACTCGCGATTGGCCGCAGGTACCATCAGGCCTTGGTGATAGAATAGGACCAATATTCTCATTTTCAAAAACAAAAGACTATTTAGATATAATGTATCCGGCATGGACCTTCTGGGCTGGAGGACCAGCCATTTCCTTACATCCGACCGGCATCGGTCGCTGGGATTTATTACGCGAGAGTATATCAAAAGAAGCTGCAAAAACAGCTTGGTCAGAAAAACTTCCGTTAGGGATTTTTCGGGGTTCTCGCACTTCGGACGAACGGGACGCATTGGTGCTTTTGTCAAGGCGTAGACCAGGTTTAGTAGATGCTAAGTACACAAAAAACCAAGCTTGGAAATCACCACTAGATACCCTCAATGCTGAACCTGCAAAAGAAGTGTTGTTTGAAGATCATTGCCGATATAAATACCTATTCAACTTTAGAGGTGTAGCAGCTAGTTTTCGCTTCAAGCACTTGTTTCTATGCAACTCGTTAGTGTTTCATGTGGGTGATGAATGGAATGAGTTTTTTTACCCCGCCTTGAAGCCATGGGTTCATTATGTGCCATTGAAAAGTTATCCAAGCGAGCAAGATATTGAAAATATTATACAATATTTTCTCGAGCACGATAATTTAGCTCGAGAGATTGCTGAACGTGGAAAGCAGTTTATTTGGAATCATCTCCGTATGCAGGATGTTGAGTGCTATTGGAAAAAACTGTTGTCACACTACCAAACGTTAATTAAATATAAGGTTGTGTCCGACCCAGAACTTATTCCGATTAAACCTAAACAAAGAGTAGAATTATAAAGCATTTAAAGAATCTCAAAATTATTGCAAAATTTTAATAAAGCTAAAAAATCGCAAAGTTTACAAAACGTCGATTTGTTTACTATGATAAATTTGAGGTTAAGTTTGTAGTCAAAATTAAACGTCAAAGTCAGATGGCTTTAATAGTTTTTGTTATTGCATCAAAATCACAAAGTGCATTTGCATTAAAGTTGTGTAAAAAATAAATTAAAGTTACAGTTCTTGTTGATTTTAAGTTATAAGACAAATGTCTTTTCGGGAGGCATATAAATTAGCCAGTAAGCAATCGATTCGCTGGTTTCCTGGACACATGGGAAAAGGGCTAAAACAAATGCAGCAGAAGTTGAGGTCCGTGGATTGTATTGTTGAAGTACATGATGCCCGCGTTCCTTTTTCCGGACGAAATCCGGAATTCAAACATACTATATCCGGTGGTGCAAAGCCCCATATTCTTGTACTGAATAAGAAAGATCTTACAGAAATTGGCGAACAACGGAAAATTGCCAAGGAGTTGTATGAACGTGAAGGTATTGAGCACGTTGTGTTTACCAACTGTAAGGACCAGCAATGTGCAGGTGTCAAACGGGTGATACCTTTAGCGCACAAACTAGTTTCGTCATCAGACCGCTACAACCGGACAGGTTTTCAAGATGCAAGTATCATGATAATCGGAGTACCAAATGTTGGTAAAAGCTCGCTAATAAATGTACTACGTAACAAAAATTTACGCAAGAAAAGTGCAACGCAAGTTGGAAATACTGCTGGTGTAACGCGTTCTGTTATGGAACGAATAAAAATCAGCATGGACCCATTGATTTATATGATTGACACACCTGGAATTTTAGAACCCTGCGTAGCTGATGATGAAATGGGTATGAAGTTGGCGTTAGTGGGTTGTCTGCCGGATCATTTAGTGGGAGAAGAGTTAATTGCTGATTATATGTTATACTGGATGAATAAGCATCACCGATTTGAATATGTCAAAGCAGTTGGACTAGAACATCCAACGGACAATATTGCAGAAGTTCTAGTGTCATTTGCAAAGAGCTTAGGAGTAGAAAGAAAATTTAAAAAACTCGATGGCCAAGTGGTAAATCTGCCGGATGTTTTGGTAGCGGCTCGCAAGCTTATCAAAAATTTTCGAAATGGCGACTTCGGTGGTGTTAATCTAGACAGATGATGTATTTTTCTGCAATAAAAATTTTTAATTTACTTTATATGAGTTATGTATTTGATGTCATTTATTGAAATGTACATAAGCATTAAAAATAGCAAGGAACTTATGTAGAAAGCCCTTAAAAATGCCAGATTATCGTTTTTAATTAATAATACGTTTCGATGAAATAGCAAATGTGGAAGCAGCACAAGTAAGCAAAATTGTAGCGTAAGGTTGATATGGCTTCTGTTGCTCTAATAAAGACCAGGCATATTAATTTTTCTTTAATATCTCTAATGTACAGACATCGGCCGGTTACAATTTTATTATATGTAAAGAAATGGTGAAATCATATTTTAGTAAAAACTTTACTGTAAAGCTGAAGTATCTAAAAGGGGCACATCTATTGCGATATTGCCAACGCCGGGTACTGGAATAGAATATGAAACTGCAGTAGCATCAACGCTTCCAGTGCTTTCATTAGCGGTGTGCTGAGTAATGTCATCTGCAGCCAAACTTGTATTTACATTATTTACAGCATCTGAATCACCAGTAGTCATTTGTTCGTTGATGACCGTAGGTTGTAACTCATTCATATTCATTACTCGTAGTTCGTCGGGAACACCCAGCAAGCGTTCGTTAATGACGCGCTGAAATGGCGAACGTCTCTCGAAAAAGTCAATTACAAACTCGGGATTTTTCTGTCGCACTTCTTCTCCTACGACCAAGTCAAGCTCATCACAAAATTGCCACTTTATTAAATATGATACATCACCGGTTTCGTCAGTTGCTCCAACTATTTGCTCCATTGCAAGACCACGTTCATAGCCTCGAGGCTTTTGGATTTCTTCAACTTTGGGTTTCTTCTCTCCCCGTTTCTTTGATTTAGCTCGTGACTCTTCAAACTTTTGTATCAAAGCTGGACAGTCACAATTCTCCTCCGGCTCCCATGTATTTTCAGCGCTGTAAGCAAATTTGGTGGAATAAAAAAACGTACATACAAACATTTTGGCTTCAAGCACTCTCACCTTGGATATCCTCGCCATTTAATGAAATATTCAACTTTTCCTTCTGGTGTTATTCTTTTGTCACAAATCTTCTCCACCACAAACCCAGTTTCCTTTACTGCACGCACCATTTTATTAATTATTTGAACAAAATCTCGGATTTTCGACAATTTCCACAAATATAGCGTCTATCATGAAAATAACAACCACATGGTTGCATCTCTGGGAAATTTTCGAATGAATATCCCATATATTTTCCCGTGGTGAAATCGTTAACCGCTCATCACCCAATATGACAGTGGCTTTGTTTCTTTTCTTATGTAGCATGTAATTATCAGGAAGAATGGGAAAATTGAGAGAATTACGCTGACAGAGAGCGTAATAACCAAATAGTAATCAAACGCAAAACTAGCAAGTAAACAGCCGATCGATGTATTTGACTATTGAAAATTTTTGGGGCGAATTTTCGTTTATCCATTTTGACCACGGTGCAGCGTTTTGTTGTTTGACAGCTATGTTCTCATTTCGCAGAATTCTTCAGAGTAGCAACATCGTTTATTTTAGAGGCAAATAAAAAATTAGAGGCAGCCATTTTTCATTTGAAAATAGTATACATCTCTTTATGCAGATTTTCTAAGTTTTCTCAAACTTTTAAGAGCCTGCAAGGCTTGATCCTTCTTGTTTCGCGACATTTTACAAATGAAAAAGTATGCTGTCAAATGCCCAGACAACAAAACTCTATCTCGCTTGCGAGAGAAAAAGCAGAACGCAAGCGAGATTTTCAAGCATGTGAAGACGGCCGGTAAACAAGGTTTTGTTACTGGCGAATTTAGATTTTCGCCGCGGTACTGCAAGAATGTCAAAATTATGTGTTTGTTGTAATATGAATTCGCCTGATTTACAACAAACATATCATTCTGACATTCAGAGGTACCGCGGCGAAAACCTAAATTCGCCAATAACAGCACCTTGTATAAATTCGCCTAGATTTAAGTTCTCTGCTTAAAGCCTGCTATACAGTTCAATACAAGTGTGAGCTTGAGATTTTTATTTTGACCAATATCTTCGTTATTTCTTAACTTTTTGTAATTGATGATACATAATATGCCTTTTTTCAAGCTCCCATCAACTATGTGCGTACGCAAAGCATTCACATGTGATCGACAAGTCTTGACTGATGTGTGTGAGCGTCCATAAGAATATAAATGGAATTCTTTGCCTTTGCGAACGCTCACGCTCGCTTTGAACTGTATAGCAAGCTTAACGGTGATACCGTTTTTGGTGCCAACCTGTGAAATGGAAATACATTTTTATCGTTAATTTTAAGAAGTGCATCCCTGCCACAGTACAACTATTTTGCACTCAAATGTATCTAATGCAATCAGCTGATCGGTGTCAAGTTTTTACCGGCTGAATAGATTGAGTGATTTCCCAAATTTGCTCCGGTTTGATTTCCTCGATTTTGATTTTATATTTAATAAAAATTGTGTTGTGTTTTATGCCACCAAAATGTCGTTCCACTGGTGTGATAACATTCACACCACTATCTTTACCCCGCGTGATTACCAAATTGAATTGCTCTCCGCCGCCTTCGAACGTAATGTTATGATATGTCTTGGCCACAAATCATCCAAGGAGTTTATTGCCTTAAAACTTCTACAGGAATTGGCAAGGCAAGCTCGAATCGCCGGAAAGATTAATTTGTACTTAACCTGTGAACAAAATACGCCATCAATTACAACTATGATAGAACATTTGACTGATTTGAAGGTATTCAAAGAGGAATCGGGGGCTGGTGACAAACAGCAGGTTCATATTCCAGACGGTTTTCAACTGTATGTTCTTCATCCACGCTCTTGTTTGGAGGCTATGAAATGCGGTATTCTGAGTTTAAAAAATGTTCATTTAATGATATTAGAAGATTGTCATGAAGCTGCGATGTATAGAGATCTGCGTCAGATATTCTGTGAATTTTTCAATGGCTCCAGCGATGATATGCCGAAAGTGTTGGGCCTAGCAGGGCCATTGCACAGCGCTGAATGCTCGTTGGAAGAGCTAAGTGCGATGTTGAATACGTTGGAGAACAGTGTGCACTGTAAAGCAGAAACAGCTAGCGACATCGTAACAGTATTAAGGTGTGTAGATATTTGTTAATATATTAAAACAAATGATAGATACATTTCTTTAGATATTGCGCTAAACCAAGCGAGTATATAGTACAATGCATGCCATATGAACGTGATGAGTTGACCGTTATCCTAGAGGAGATTATTTGCACACGAAAAGCATTCTTAATAGACCATCGCTACGATCCTTTTGAAATCTATAGTACAGATGAATACATGGAGGAATTGAAGGGTATGTATATTGTATCCTTTAAAACTTGTATAATTTATTAAAGTATGTTGATAGTAATAATCGTAAATTATTGCAGATATTCCCGACCCGAAAGAGGAACCTATGGAATTTTTGGAAACCATGCTTTTTGTGCTTTACGAAATGGGCCCGTGGTGTGCTGATCGTGTTGCTATTAACATGTTTCATCGGATAGAAAAACAGAAAATAAAGACGCCTCATGAGCGCCACTACATTTTACTATGTGTAGTGAATACAGCACTTCTAGAATTTCACGCAATTTGTGAACACACATTCAAAAAGTTAACAACTCACAAAGAGTTAGTCGAACGTTTTTCGAGTCCTAAAGTATCTCGGTTGCTAGAGACTTTACGCGTATTCAAGCCCGAGGAATTAATGACAAAAAATGAAACAATTCAGAAAATGAGCCAGGATTTGGATCAGATGGATTTTCAAAAGCTCAGTCGAAGTATCGAATATAGTTGTCATAGTGTGGAAAACGTCACCACGAAGCTACAAATTGAATCTCGCTCTATTATTGATAATTTGGACCCGATTGTTAAGTCACCCCCGGCTGATCAGACTAGACAACAAATGCTACAAAGTAACACAGCGCACAAAAGTGAAAACAACACTGGTACCAACCGACGCCATGGAGCAGGTGGTTCACATGGGCGCTTCAAGCGGCGACCGTTTAACCGCCGGCTAATGCGTGACAACAGTGATACGATGGATACACTCTGTGCTATAATTTTTTGTAACTCGAATTACACAGCACGTGTGCTCTTTGATTTGCTGAGCGAAATGAGCCGCCATGATCCAGAACTTAAGTTTCTTAAGTGTCAGTTCACAACTGACCGTGTCGCTGATCCTATAACCGAACCCAAAGAAGCCGAAATCGAGCACAGACGTCAGGAAGAAGTATTAAAACGTTTTCGAATGCACGACTGCAATGTATTAATCGGCACATCCGTTCTAGAGGAAGGCATAGATCTGCCTAAGTGTAATCTTGTAGTGCGTTGGGATGCACCCACAACATATCGTAGTTATGTACAATGTAAAGGGCGAGCGAGAGCAGCTCCTGCCTATTATGTGATACTAGTATCGCCAGCTTATAAGGCAGTTCATTGTAAAAATGAACAGTTAAGTGATCAGTGTCATGGATACTTATGTAAAATAGAAGATGGACAAGACGATGGGATCGATTCAGATTCAGGAAGCGAAGACGAAGACGAAGACGAAGAAACTAGCAATGACAATGGCAACAAATTCACAATCGGTTCTTCAAAAGGAATAGTCAAAATACTAAATCCAGAAGTTATTACCAGTAAACCACCAACGAAGAGCGAGATAACGTTGAAGGAAATTAAAGAGGAATTGCCGGCCATTGAAGGCACGGAAATTGAAGCAACAGATGCTTTTAATTTAGTAGAAATTGAAAACGAGTTGCCTTCAATCACGGAGCTTAAATATGAAACACCTTCAATTCAGGAAATTAAATTAGTACCGATAAAGCCTATAGATATTTGCTATGAAGTGCTGGATCTAAACGATGCGATTTCGGACATAAGCAGCGTACTAAATAATTCAGCCTCCAGCTCCTTTTTAGAAGAAACATCAACAGCAACAAAGGCTCCACCAAAGGCGCAAAAAGTGAAACGTCGTTTTCAGTGCGTTTGTGAAAATGCAAAAGATTCAGAAAGCATGGATACCGGTGTTGATGGGGTCGTCCAACAAATAGAATACACAACTAATAAAATCGTAGAACAACTGGCAGAGTATCGTGAAATAGAGAAGGTAATTTATATTTTGTTACTGAATTCTCAAACCAATTGCTATTTTAATTTCAGATGCTCCTTCAAAAATGCGCTAACACTGAACCATCAGAGATGGAACATCAATTCGCCGACTATTATAATAAATGTGTGAAGCGTTATAAGCCATGCGAATATCTTTTGACCGGCGCGTCTGTGGATCTTACTTCATCCATTGCTTTAGTCAACAAATATTGCTCCAAATTACCAAGCGACACATTTACCAAACTTACTGCGCTCTGGCGTTGCACAAAAACTATGCGATGTGATGCCGAAGTATATCAATATACTATACGACTTCCAATAAATTCGCCATTAAAATATGATATAGTTGTATGTTGAAATTCTGTGTAATCCCAAGTTCATGTATTAAAATTGATAATGGGCTAATCTTTTATTTTAGGGGCTTCCAATGTCTTCGAATATATTGGCGCGTAGAATGGCCGCCTTACAAGCTTGTATAGAGCTCCACAAAACTGGCGAGTTGGACGACAACTTGCAGCCCATAGGAAAGGAGGGTTTCCGTGCCGTGGAACCCGATTGGGAGAACTTTGAACTGGCGGAGGAGGATGAGAAAATCGTCCATGAAAACTCGGAGCCACGACCAGGAACTACAAAGCGAAGACAATACTACTATAAGCGAGTAAGTGCTCCTTACACTGCAATGGGCGAATATTTATAATTTATATGGATCCATAATTTAAAATAATATTTACAATTCACTGCTTTAGATAGCCTCGGAATTCAGTGAATGTCGTCCTACTGCCGGCGTTCCCTGCTATCTGTATTTTATTGACTTGACTCTACAATGTCCCATCCCGGAGGAGCAAAATACACGTGGTCGTAAAATATATCCACCGGAGGATGCACAGCAAGGCTTTGGTATACTAACCCTCAAACGTATACCCAAAGTCAGCTCATTTCCCATATTTACACGCTCTGGCGAAGTAAAAGTCTCTATAGTCCTCTCAAAAGATAGAGTAGTTCTCACCGAAACCCAAATATGCTGCATAAACACGTTCCTGAACTATACATTTACAAATGTGTTGCGCTTGCAGAAATTCCTAATGCTTTTTGATCCTGATTCCACGGAAAATTGTGTATTCATTGTGCCCACATTGAAAAAGGACGGTGGAAAACTGATCGACTGGGACTTCCTCGAATTGATTGAACGGAATTCAAGTATGATGCCCACTCCAGTGCCCGACGAGTTGCGCAAATGCACAGATTTTGATGCGAATAAGTTCAAGGATGCCGTCGTTATGCCGTGGTATCGCAATCAAGATCAGCCGCAGTACTTTTACGTAGCGGAGATTTGTCCACAGCTGTCACCATTAAGTTGTTTTCCTGGCGAAAACTACCGCACATTTAAGCATTACTATTCTCTCAAATACGGGTTAACAATACAGAATGTCAAGCAGCCTTTACTGGATGTGGATCACACCAGCGCACGTTTGAATTTTTTGACACCTCGCTATGTAAATCGAAAAGGCGTTGCCTTACCCACAAGCTCAGAAGAGACAAAGCGTGCCAAGCGCGAAAATCTCGAACAAAAGCAAATTCTTGTGCCTGAATTGTGTACTGTACATCCATTTCCGGCTTCACTGTGGCGCACCGCTGTTTGTTTGCCTTGCATTCTATATCGCATAAATGGTTTATTACTAGCTGATGATATTCGTAAGAAGGTTTCAATGGATATAGGCTTAGGGCAGCAGGATATTGCCGACAACTTTGAGTGGCCAATGCTGGACTTTGGCTGGAGTTTGTCGGAAGTTTTGAAGAGGTCAAAGGAAAGTAAAAACGCCTCGGTGGACCAAGAAAATAAAGACAATAACGGAAAAGAGGAGTCAAACGGCAAGCAAAATAATAGCTTTGGAACAGATAATGGGATCAATGGTGAGTGTGGAAACAGTGTCGAAGAGAACCAATCCAAAGCGAAGAGTGCTAACGAAATCATAATTGAAGGCGAAAAAAAGTTACAGGTATTTTGTGAAAACCACAATTAGCATAAAATAGAAATAAAAGTAACGAGTTTGAAATTTACTCTTGCAGGATAGCACTTTCATAGAAATTGGCACTTGGTCCAATGACATGGCAGATGATTTAAATTTCAGCAAGAACTCTGACTCATTAGAGGACGATGAAGAAGAATGCTTGAAATATTTTCCATCAAATGTTAGTTTTTGTAAGTTCGTGTTTAGTTTTTTTTTTTTCTCACAATTAGCTACAATACTTAATAAACTCTCACAGGCGACCAGCAGTTGCGTTATGGTTCTCCAACATTCTGGGACTTAGAAGAATCCGAACAAAATAAAAAGACAAATGAAGGTATGCAAAATAAGGGCAATGTACCAAATCATTATCGGAAAAATTCATTTGCATATTATGACTCCGACGATTCACTTGCATCCAGTTATGATGGCAATGAGCCTGCCAAATATAGTGAGGATGAAGATGATGATGATTGTGGGCCTTTACGAATCGCATTCACTTCGAAGAATGAAGCCGAGACTATTGAAACTGTTCAAGAGATCGAAAAGCACAACAAACAACTTTCCATCATTCAGGCCACCAATGCAAATGAGCGTAATTATCAGAAAACAAAAAACTTGCTTGTGGGGTACAACTTCGTAGACTTAAAGCCTAGCATAGAAGCAGAATTGCGTGAGTCCATCGCACAATTTACAGCATCTACAAAAATATTAAGGATGACTATTGAACATTCGGGCATGCTTGTAAAATACAATCAGCCAGTGGCGTTGGCTCGTAAGGAGAAATCCGGCGGCAATTCGTATGTACCCGACGAATTGCCTACTGCAGAGATGTTTTTTAAGCTTTTGCCCTATGCTGACAAAAGCTTATTAATATCTATTTTGGGCGAACGAGGAAACTTGCTAACTCCTGCAGACATAGCGCTCTTGAATGCCGATTATTTGAAGTCGCAACCGCTTGAAATGGTCGAAGTACAGGGTTGCGGTGATATATTTGATAATTTCAATGACAAGGATATGCTTAAGTTGGAGCGATGGGGTGAAGGATATAAGAAGCTGATACAGTTGAGATTTGATAGAAAAGTTAGTGCAGAAAGCAATGATAGTTTGATTACTGCAAGGGAGGAAATCAAGAAAGTCTACAGCGATTTGTTTAGTTTTGACCGCCAACCCGATTTAACCGGTCACCCTGGACCAAGCCCAAGTATCATTCTGCAAGCTTTAACCATGTCGAATGCGAATGACGGCATTAATTTGGAGCGTTTGGAGACAATTGGGGACTCATTTCTCAAATACGCCATTACCACTTATTTATATATAACGTACGAAAACGTACATGAAGGCAAACTCAGCCACTTGCGATCAAAACAAGTAGCCAACCTCAATCTGTATCGACTGGGGCGTCGAAAAAAGCTAGGCGAATATATGATAGCGACGAAATTTGAGCCGCACGACAATTGGTTGCCACCGTGCTACTTCGTGCCCAAAGAGCTTGAGAAAGCTCTCATAGAGGCAAAGGTGGGTGACGAACATTGTTGCATAAATTTTTTTTGAAATAGTTGAAATGCCAATAGTCGTATTGAATCACAATTCCTCGTTTTTCAATCAGATACCGCCGCATCACTGGAAATTGGTGGATTTGTCTAGCATTAAAAAGTTAAACAGCGCCGAGATATGCGCCTTAGTGCGCGACAAAGCCGACAAGCTGGGGCTGTTTAGTGATGTAAGTGATTAAAACTTTTTAAAATCTTGGTTAAAAGTATTGGTTTTCTTAGGAATCGAATTACAGCGAGGACGCAAGTGCCGTCGATGAGAGTGGCGAGGGAAAAGACTTTACATGTTTCATTCCTTACAATCTTGTGACTCAGCACAGCATTCCAGGTTGGTTTATAGATTTGGGCGTAATCATTTCAATTAAAATCAAAAATACTTGCAGATAAATCAGTGGCCGATTGCGTTGAAGCATTGATCGGTGCATACTTAATCGAATGTGGTCCGCGAGGCGCCCTGCTGTTCATGGCTTGGTTGGGAATACGTGTACTTCCGTTTGTACGTAAGCCATATAATCCACAAACGCCTCGTATTCCCGGCAGCACTAGTCCAGATGATAATGGTGAGATAACGGTATATGGAGAGTGGGCTGCACCAAAAAGCCCACTCCTCCACTATTCGCCTAATGCCACACAGGAGTTGGAGTATATGCTGGAGGGCTTTGACGAGTTCGAAGCCACTTTGGGTTATAAATTCCGCGATCGCTCCTACTTATTGCAAGCCATGACTCATGCCAGCTACTCGCCGAACCGTTTGACGGATTGCTATCAACGGTTAGAATTCCTAGGTGATGCAGTTCTAGATTATCTGATCACACGTCATCTGTACGAAGATCCCAGACAGCACTCACCGGGTGCCTTGACGGATTTACGTTCAGCGTTAGTAAATAACACGATATTTGCATCATTAGCCGTTCGACATGGTTTCCATAAATATTTCCGACATCTGTCCCCTGGTCTGAATGAAGTTATCGATCGATTTGTACGAATTCAGAATGAAAATGGACACAGCATAAGCGAGGAAGTATGAAACTATAGGTTTGGCTTTGAAAGTTTTGTAAAACAAATACTTTTTGATTACTTCGTAGTATTATCTACTTTCGGAAGAAGAGTGTGACGATGCTGAGGATGTTGAAGTGCCAAAGGCTTTAGGTGACGTATTCGAGTCAATAGCGGGCGCAATATTTTTAGATTCCAATATGTCACTGGACGTTGTATGGCAGGTGTATAGTAATATGATGAAGCCAGAGATAGAACAATTCAGCAACTCAGTGCCAAAATCGCCTATTAGAGAATTGCTGGAACTTGAACCGGAAACTGCTAAATTTGGGTAACTGAAAAAATAAGATTTTCGAAACGCATGACAAATATATATATATTTTCTAATATTTGCCTTTTAAGGAAACCGGAGAAACTGGCCGACGGGCGCCGGGTGCGAGTCACCGTGGAAGTCTTCCTCAAGGGTACGTTCCGTGGTATTGGCCGCAATTATCGTATAGCAAAATGTACGGCTGCCAAATGCGCATTACGTCAATTAAAGAAGCAAGGTTTGATAACAAAGAAGGATTAGGCCATAACTATACCGGCACCCACACACTTATGGAATAAGTACGTATTTCTCCATATTACCTATTTAAGGCAAACATATTTTTAATGACTTAACAAATTTTTCACTATTTTAATTAGTCTGAATGCATCTAGACATAAAAATAATGTATTTGTGCAAATATAGATTTTTTGAGTGTGCATTTTTACACAATTTATAAAATTTATTTTAATTCGGCTCGATTTCATTATTGACTGATTGGAAACTTTTAGCCGAAATTACTTTAATGCAATATTTTACTTTACCAGTTTATTTATAAATAAACAAGAAGGTTTCTTAAAAAGCTAAATATTTCCTATACAAAAGAGGTGCGCCTGTTTATCCCTTTGCCGCCTTCGCTTTACTCTTCACTTTCTTGACACGTTTCAGACCATCCATGTTGCTTTTCATGAACTGAGCATACATGTTCATCATTTTCGGAACATCTTCCTGACGCACGATTGTGGATATCTATGACGGATAAGACCAAATAGCAGATATTTTTTCCTGATTTAGAAAATAATAAGTGAGGTGCATACCTACCTTTTTTGATTTCGTCTGTGCCCGCATAAGGCACAAGTATGTTTCTGGTTCGGGAAGTGCTGGTCGTCCTTCGCGTGGTTTGGGTCTATCGTGGCCATTGTCTGTGGATTGGAGTGAGATTAGCTTAAAGTTCAAGCCGTCAAATTAAAGATTAGATACTTACATCTTTTGAACGTCACTGTAAAAGACGAATCCTTTCTCGCAGCATTTGCGAACTTTTCTAATCGGATAATAAACTACAACGAGGGGATTATTGGATTTTATGAATACTTTTATTTAAAATTATGTTTATATTCACCGTAGAATTGTCCAGCAGCACCATCTTTGTATGCGTAGGCAGAAAAAAGGTTTCTCTATCTGACAAGTGCCAGCGAATGACGTTCCGTACCGCGTTCGTAAGAGTGGTAATATAAACATTTCCTCAATACATCCGATATCCGAGCGGTTTGCAATATCTTGCTTGCTATCAACTGTATTTTTTGTAATTTGTATTTTCTACAATAAAAAAAACTAAATTAGAAAGACGTAGTGAATATTTATAATAATAAAATGGAGTGGCGGATTCCAGATTTTTGAAAATATGAATGCCCTCGAAATTTTTTTGAGAAAAGTATGCTTTCAAAAGTCCAGTCAACAAAACTCTATCTCGCTTGCGAGAAATAAAAGGAGAACGCCAGCGAGACTTTGAAGTAGGTGAAGATGGCCGGTAATGAACACAGTACGTATGAAAATGCGGATATCAATCGCAGCCATCTTCAAGCAAGTACAAAGTGACTTGTGAAAATTGTTTGTCAGTTTGGGGTTCCGTCTGCAATTTGCAATTATTTGATTTGTAGTGATAATTGTGTTAATAAAAAATGGTAAGCTCTATAACATTGCTGATTTTCATTATTAATACAAATTGTATACCTCTTAAAACTTTTGAACTTGTCTTCATTAGGGACAAAACCAATCAGCCTCAGGCGGCTCCGGCGATAAAAAAGATGACAAAGACAAGAAAAAGAAGTATGAACCTCCAATTCCTACCCGTGTGGGCAAAAAGAAGCGTCGAGCAAAGGGTCCCGATGCAGCCATGAAGCTACCACTAGTAACTCCGCACACACGATGCCGTCTGAAGCTCTTGAAGTTGGAGCGCATTAAAGATTACCTTATGATGGAAGATGAGTTCATACGTAACCAAGAACGACTAAAGCCACAAGATGAAAAAAACGAAGAAGAACGTTCGAAGGTTGATGACCTGCGTGGAACGCCTATGTCGGTAGGCAATCTTGAAGAGATTATCGATGATAATCACGCCATTGTCTCCACTTCTGTGGGTTCAGAGCATTATGTTAGCATATTGTCCTTTGTTGACAAAGATCAATTGGAACCTGGTTGTTCTGTGCTTTTGAACCATAAAGTTCATGCAGTTGTCGGTGTTCTCAGTGATGATACAGATCCTATGGTTACAGTAATGAAACTTGAAAAGGCGCCCCAAGAGACGTATGCCGACATAGGTGGCTTGGACACCCAAATTCAGGAAATCAAGGAATCTGTGGAATTGCCGTTGACGCATCCAGAATATTATGAAGAAATGGGTATTAAACCACCAAAAGGTGTAATTCTGTACGGGCCGCCAGGTACTGGGAAAACATTGCTGGCCAAAGCAGTAGCAAATCAAACGTCTGCCACATTCTTGCGTGTTGTTGGATCAGAACTGATTCAAAAATACCTTGGTGATGGTCCAAAATTGGTGCGTGAGCTTTTCCGTGTAGCTGAAGAGCATGCACCTTCAATTGTTTTCATAGACGAAATTGATGCGGTGGGAACAAAACGTTACGACTCCAACTCCGGTGGAGAAAGAGAAATTCAGCGTACTATGTTAGAATTGCTGAATCAGCTTGATGGTTTCGACTCCCGAGGAGACGTAAAAGTGAGTAAGCGAATTTCCTTTTTTTTGTGTCAAATCATAACGTTATTGAGTTTGCATATAGGTAATCATGGCAACAAATCGAATTGAAACATTGGATCCTGCTCTTATTCGTCCCGGCCGTATTGACCGTAAAATTGAATTTCCACTTCCTGATGAGAAAACTAAGCGCCGGATTTTTACGATTCATACTTCCCGCATGACTTTAGCTGAAGACGTGAACCTCCACGAACTGATAATGGCCAAGGATGACCTCTCCGGTGCGGATATCAAGGCTATTTGTACAGAGGCCGGTTTGATGGCCCTACGTGAACGACGCATGAAAGTCACCAACGAAGACTTCAAAAAATCTAAGGAGAGTGTTTTGTATCGCAAAAAGGAAGGCACAGTCGAGGGATTATACTTATAATTTTTAGGCTGGATTTATTTTAAAATATCGTAAAATTAATTTCTACTCTACTTTTGCGACGCTAATAAATTAGTTGTTAGTGGCAGTGTTTGTTGACACTGTCTCAAAAATGTATCTACGTAAGTGTTTTGGTGATGGGTAATTGCATCAAGGGGTTCTTTGTTATGCTTAGCGAAATAGCAATGACTGGGATCTGTTGCAATATCCACTGACATTTTTGAATATAGCGCTTTTTCCTTATTTAACTCCTCATTTTGAACTTTTAAAATGTTCAGATTTTCGAAGAACGATCGGTATTTCTCAAGCTCAAAACCTGTACGCAATCCATGAGTGTACCCATTGTCGAAAGCAGTTTGAAAGATCGCCTCCTTTCCGTCAGAAACACCCTCAGCATACCCGAGCTATAATTTAAGTAATAATTAAGTTTCTTTACATCTGGCAGCACCGTTTGCCGCATTGTCATTTGTTATTTTTCAGCATGTGGATCGGCGAGTTCTTACCTTGCTGGATTTGTTGCGGATCTTCTGGAAATTAGCCTCGGTTACCTTTTTGAAATCTTCGTCATCCGACAAAGTTTCTCCGGTAAATGACATTTTATCGCTTAATTGCTCGCGAAAAGTGTTTTTCGTTAAAAATTGGTGAGCGTTTCATACAAGCCCTTTGTGCCGAGTTGTTTTTGTTGTAAATTTGCCTGCTTTGCTTTCACTGACATTTCTCATTTATCAATGTTTTTGTTGTCATTTATAGGGTAGAAGGTAGAAGTACATATTCTGGCTTTTTAGATTTGCATAATTATTTCAGCAGTAAAAATTATGGCTGCAAACGATATTTCTCATGAAATATTGGCCATCATTCAAGGAATCCCAACAGGTGCCACGAATGATGATCTAGTCAAGGGCTTATCTGATGTGCCAGCTCAAGCCCGACTAGATGGTTTGAATAAGCTGCTCCAACAGGGTACAATCGAGTTACTAAAGAAGGGTGATAGACTCATATATCGCGCAAAGGATCCGAAAAAGAGCGCACTGCCAAAAGATGCTGACAACGAGGAGAAAATTATATATGGAATTATTGAGGAAGGCGGCAATAAGGGCATTTGGATACGCGACATACGCATGCAGTCGAATCTGAATATGACACAGTTGAATAAGATTCTGAAAAACTTGGAAACAAAAAAGCTGATTAAGGCAGTTAAATCAGTTAATGTAAGGCAATGCTGATAAAAGTAAAATTTCTGAAAATTTTTATTTACGGTCCTAATTTCAGGCAAGTAAAAAGAAAGTTTATATGCTGTATAACTTGGAACCAGATCGCTCAGTAACTGGAGGCGCCTGGTATCAGGATCAAGATTTTGAAGCTGAGTTCGTGGATGTGCTCAATCAGCAATGCTTAAGGTTTCTGCAGATGACACGTGAAAATGCTGAAAAGAAGCGTGAAGGGCCCCTACCCCTAAAACGGTTGTCCTGTTGCACTGTCAAGGAGGTGCATAAGTTCATCTCAGACTTGGGTATAAGTAAGGTATGATATACATATGTAAGATAATACAAATGATCAAATTACACATCAGTGGTTTTATTTTTGTTTTAGGTCCACCTAGACGAGGATGATTTGGAAACAATATTGAAAACTGTCGTTTACGATGGCAATGCGGAGCGTATTATGATGCAGGATGGTTCTTATGTCTATCGTGCTATCAACGCACCTCTGGCTGCTCCCGGACTAGTACAAATGCCATGTGGTATTTGTCCAGTCATTCGGAATTGCTCGAAATGTGGTGATGTGACTCCAAATAAATGCGTTTATATGGCCGAATGGCTAGATTGAAATAAACTAGGAGCATTTAATCTTTGAAAATAACAAAAAAAGTCTCAAGCCAGAGAATAGAAGTTTTTTTTGTACGCGGCATTTTATTACATCAGATTTCATTTCTACCAGTGCTGACGAGTACATTCCAAATGGCGAAAATTACTGTTTTTGCAAAAAAATAGCTTATATGTATTATAAAAAAACTACATCAAAAGTTAAAACAAGCTGTGAAACCCACTATTTGACAGTTAATCGCTTATCACTTGTGAAAGCTGGCAAGTGATTCATCGCCGGAGATCCATAGCAGCAGCTGAACAATCTCCACAGGCTGTGCATGCAGTCCCAAGAATCCGAAAATCGAAGTGGTCTCGAAAAACCCAAAATATTCCTAAAAGCTCTGAATAAGTCCCAAAAAACTCCAACTAATCATACATTTAGTCTCAAACATGAAAGCGTGAGAGCTCCATGAGAACGAATGAGAATTTTCTTACCGAAAAAATTATCTTAAGAACAAAATATCATGTAAGTAAGTTTTTGTGCGCCGGCATTTTTTTCTTGATAAAAGCATTCGCTTCTAAACGGATTTAATCACTTAAAAATTTTACAAAATTGTTATATCACATCCTAGTACACAATAACCAAAAATTTAATAAAAAAACAGATTAATTTTTGCTTTTATATTAAAATATCAATAATTTTGCTGTCGAACTACCAAATTGCCGGCAATATTTATCAAGATAAAAGCTCTGATAATTATTGCTTGACGAGAGCAATATGCGGTCTCCATTGCCAAAATATTGCCTGATAGCATCAAGATAAAAAGCTTTGCCTGTGGAGACGTTATGTCAGATTTTGAAACAAAGAAAGCGTGAAAACAGTTCCCACCCTGTACTTCCGGTAGTGCTTCCAGAAAAATTCCAGCTGACGTTTTTGTTTTTTCTTTTTTGTTATTCTCCCTTCATCAATTTTGACAGTTAATAAGCAGATGAAAAATACGAAACACGAAAATTTAGATTTGTTGGCAAATTGAGTTGAGCGCTGAATACATTTTACATATTTTCGTAGTATGTGCAATTGCTAATTGGCAATACTTTAATTTTATTGTGAGATTTGGATTTTCCTTTTTTTGTCCATAAATATATTAATCGGGGCCGCGGTACAATGGGTCTTTGCAAGTGCCCTAAACGCCAAGTGACGAATCAGTTCTGTTTTGAACATCGCGTCAACGTTTGCGAAAATTGCATGGTCCAAAACCACCCAAAGGTAATATCAGAATATTACGTTGTTTATTTGTTGCCGAAGTAAATACTTTTCTTCTTATAGTGCGTTGTTCAATCATATTTGCAATGGCTACGTGACAGCGATTATGTTTCCAATTGTACACTTTGCTCCACAACATTAGAACAGGGTGAATGTGTACGGCTGATCTGTTACCGTATGTTGCAAGCACAAACCACAGCAAAAGCTTTAATATATCTACTGCCCATTTTCATATATTTCTTTGCAGATGTGTTCCATTGGGATTGTTTGGATGCCCGACAGTCGTCATTGCCGGCCAATACGGCGCCACGCGGTCATCAGTGTCCTATTTGCGAGACGGAGATATTTCCAAATTCCAATTTGGTATCGCCCGTAGCTGATGCATTAAAAGCTTATTTGTCACAAGTGAACTGGGGTCGAAATGGCCTGGGACTTTCCTTGGTAAGTGACTTACCTATTTTGTTTCATAGTTCCGTTCACTGTATTTATATCGGAATTCACAGTTGCCTAATGACCAATCAACAACAAGTGCAAAGGTGAGAGCCCAGGTGGTGTCTGCAGACGCGCAAATAGAATCGGTAATGACAAAAGTGCATCATTCCAGCAGCATGGAGCGCTCGAAAGCAAATGGTGTGTTCTCGAATCAAACGACACGTCACGACCATCCACATTCTGTGCTCTTAATGGATGCCTTCAGTCCACCATCAGAAAGGGATATTCATGGTAAGCAAATGCTAGATATGTGTACATATGTAAATTAGTTGTAAGTAACTAATTTTTTATGTTACAATGGACTCTTGTAGCTAACAGTAGACGACCAATGCTGCCACGTCAGCCGCCAATCGGTGGTCATGATCGTGACGAAAATAAGTATGAGCGCCGTACACCTTCCGAAAATTTTTCCCGTTGGTCTCGCCGGTTCTATGCACCATCATCGCGTCCTCCCTGGCGACGCACTTGGTTCCTGGTATTAAGCGGCGTGTTGGCATTTTTAGTACTCATCTATTTAATGGCACATTTTGGACGTGGTGGTGATGACAATTCACTCGATGACAGTTGGAATGCTCCTAACCCTCAAAACTTGCACTACGACTAAATTGAAAAGCTGAAAATCGCCCAGTCGATCTAAAACGATACGAGTAATTATTTTCAAAAAATAATTTTTTTAAATAATTTATAGTAACATGGTAAAGCTTGTATAAGGGCGCCTACAATTATTATTTGACATATTATTATTGAATACTTACTGTTAAATTTGTGCAATTAGAGTGACTAAAACAACGCATTTGCGAAAATAAGTACAGTGACTTAGGAAAGTCAAAGTCGATTTATATAATGCATTAAAACCTATAACATACATGCAGTGTAAGCACGTTCATACATATTATTTAAACTGTGCAATGTAATCGAGTAAAAAAGTAATATTGCGAAATATGTATGTAAACATTTATTAAATATAAATTAAAGATGGAAATCAATTTTTTTGGCACTGTTCGCTCGTTTCCATAACTTGCTGATAAGTTGGCATAGCGCAGAATTTCACTGTTAGCCGATCAACTATAGGCGTGGGGCAAATGCAGAAAAGGAAACGGTACAATTTATAACTATAATTGAAAAAGTAAGTGAAAAAACAAAGATTATCATTCAACTAAGTAAATAGATCTTAAAATTATGCAACTTTAATTCCATGCGAACTTTTTCATTTCAGGTTCAGTTTGATCTAATTTTGAATAAAAGAACGAATTCTTACCGCCATGGCTCATGTATATAAATTGCTCTTGGAACTCTGTTCGTTAATGCATCATTGAATTTTTCCAACAAACGGTCGTCACGAAATTGATTTGGTGCTTTAAACCCTGAAATAACTGTTAAATAATTGTTGAATTGCTTGAAGTAGGCGCCGTATAATTGTCGTTGCTCATCATTAAATGCATCTAGCATAACTTTCGCATGATCTTGCTGCCTTGCCGATATGTTGCTCAAATGCACAAAGGATCCAGGCACGAAATTGATCACCTCCACACCATATTGACGCATTTCCATGCGCAGTGAATCGTTCCAAAAGCGCAAAGCAGCCTTGGAAGCAGCATATGGACTTAATGCTGGAAGAGCCTGGCAATGAAAATTCATTTCATTGAATCTGTGTTCGTATGGAATAGCAGCTTATGTCGTAAGGCTGGCTTTTGAATAAGGTGGCATTCGCAGCATACGATTGCGAATGACTCACTGGCACCGAGCTGGTGTAGAACTTTTGGCAAATAAATGGGCAAGAAATAGTTCCGATACTAGCAATATTCTTATTAAGTTTTGATCAAAAAATTTCTTGCCGTTTAAAGAATAAAGAAATGCCGCATTATACTAAAGCCAGCCTCCCGACATAAGCTACTATTCCATACGAACACAGAAATAAACATCTTTGTGGGTGCCACCAAAAAAGCAATGAAATATGGCTATCGGAATTTCTTAATTCAAATCTATGCAATTATATATATGTACATACATACATACATACATACATATGAATATGTGTGTACATGTGTGT